AGCTTGCAGTGAGCCGAGATCGCACCACTGCACTCCAGCCTGGGTGACAGAGCGAGACTCCGTCAAAAAAAAAAAAAAAAAAACTTAGATAAATTGTCATCAAAATTAAAAAGTTCTACTCATCAAAAAGTCAATAAGAGCTAGGTGCAATGACACATTCCTGTAGTGCCAGCTACTCAGGAGGCTGACACAGGATTGCTTGAGCCCAGGAGTTTGAGACCAGCCTGAGCAACAGAGCAACCAAGACTCTGTTAAAAGAAAAAAAAAAAAAGAAAAAGCCAGGCATGGTGGCTCACACCTGTAATCCCAGCACTTTGGGAGGCTCAGGTGGGTGGATCACCTGAGGTCAGGAGTTTGAGACCAGCTTGACCAACATGGTGAAACCCTGTATCTACTAAAAATACAAAAAATTAGCCAGGCATGGTGGTGGGCACCTGTAATCCCAGCTACTCGGGAGGCTGAGGCAGGAGAATCACTTGAACCCAGGAGGCAGGGGTTACAGTGAGCTGAGATTGTGCCATTACACTCCAGCCTGGGCAACAAGAGTGAAACTCCGTCTCAAAAAAGGCTTTTTGTTGTTGTTGCTGCTGTATGATTCATTTATATAATATTCTTGAAATGACAAAATTGAAGAGATGGATTTTATCTGTCAGTTACACCTCAATTAAGATGGAGGGGAAAAAAAGGAAATGGAGACCAGATGAGTGGTTTCATGGGGATTGATGGTGGTGAGGGTAGAAAGTGAGGTGGCTGTGGAAGGGTAGCATGAGGAATTCCTGTGATGGAACTACTCTATATCTTGATTGTAGTGCTCAGAGGAATTGACACAGGTGATAGTATTGCATAGAACTAAATCACACACACAAATGAGTATCTGTAACTGGTAAAATCTGAATGAAGCCACTGGATTGTGTCAATATATATTTCCTATTTATGATATTATACTGTCCTTATGCACAATTTTAACATCGGGGGAAATGGTAAAGGATTTATGCAACCTCCATGACCTCTTATAACAGCATGTGAATCTATAATTATCTCATAAAATGTTGAAAAGTATGCAGTGTGAACAAAGCCTTATCCAAAGAGTACATTTTGTATAATTTACAAAAGTCCTAGAAGAGGCAAAATTAACCTACGGTGGAAAAAAATCAGAGCAACGCTTGCTGTCTGTGCAATGCTTTGTTTTTTGTTTTTTGTTTTTTGTTTTGAGACAGGGTCTCTCTGTCGCCCAGGCTGGAGTGCAGTGTCACAAACACGGCTTACTGCAGCCTCCACCTCCTGGGCTCAAGTGATCCTCCTGCCTCAGCCTCTGGAGTAGCTGTGACCACAGGTGCATGCCACCACACCCAGCTAATTAAAAATTATTATTATTTTTGGGGGGTAGAGATGGGGTCTCACATGTTGTCCAGGCTGGTCTCAAATTCCTGGGCACCTCAGCCTCCCAAAGTGCTGGGATTACAGGCACGAGCCACCACGGTCAGTCAATGCTTTGTACTTTGCTTGGGATTTAGGTTGCACTAGGCATGCATACATTGGAACTCAAGGAATGGTATGCTCATGATGTGTCCATTTCATTGTAGTTAATGATATGCATGATGAAGTATGTAGATCATATGAAGTATGTGAAGGAAACCAGAAGGTGCCAGCCCAAAATATGCCTCTTTGACCGAAAAATTATTTTTTGGCCAAAGGCAATTAAGGAGCAGAAAACAGGCCAGTGCGGTGGCTCATGCCTGTAATCCCAGCACTTTGGGAGGCTGAGGCGGGCAGATCATGAGGTCAATAGATCGAGACCATCCTGGCCAACATGGTGAAACCGTGTCTCTACTAAAAATACAAAAATTAGCTGGGCGTGGTGGCACGTGCCTATAGTCCCAGCTACTCAGGAGGCTGAGGCAGGAGAATCTCTTGAACCCGAGAGGCAGAGGCTGCGGTGAGCCGAGATGGTGCCACTGCACTCCAGTCTGGCCACAGAGCGAGACTCCATCTCAAAAAAAAAAAAAAACCTAAAAATAAATAAATAAAGCAGCAGAAAACAGAGAAAAAGCTCTCCCTATCCTCTCACTTTTCTGCCTAAAGACAGGACATACATTCTCCTTTACTGGAGGCAGCTTAAGACTGTTACCAGCCCAAAGTGGCACCAGCAGAATCTACAAACAAAACTTACCCATTAGTTTCCTTGCATATACTGTGCTTACCTTCCCACAGCCTCCCACCTTCTGAAGCCTAAAACCACCTTCCTTTGCCCTGTCATTTCCCCCCAAATTCACTGCTCTTTGTTAAACTCTCATAAGACAGAATTCTAAGCCATTGCTTTCAGTTACTTTTCATTGAGATTTCTCCTGTCTAATGCACACAGTATGCGTTAATAAACTTGTTTTCTTCTTGTTAATCCGTCTTTTATTATACGAGTCCCAACTAAGACCTAAGATGGGGAGAGGTGATCTTTAGCCTCTTCTACGTATATACTTGTGACATAGTTAACGATATACATGTTGAAGTATTTCAGGGAAAGTCTGCTAATGTTTGCAACTTTGAAATGCATCAAAAACTAAGACTGATGAAAGGATGGAAGGATTGATAGGTATGTTATCAAATAAGGAGAATAAAATGTGAGTAAAAATATTTTCAACTGTTGGTCTGAAAATTTTTATAAAATATTGAAAAAAAATAATTGACTTTTTAAATGCAAAAGTTCTGTAATAGTTGGGTGTGGTGGTGCACACTTGTACTCCCAGCTACTCTGGAGGCTGAGGTGGGAGGATTGCTTGAGCCCAGGAGTTTGAGGCCAGCCCGGGGGACATGGTAAGACCCTCATCTTTAAAAAAAATAAAATATTGTGATCTGAGAGACTAAAATAGACAATCATTTACCCCTTTATCAACTAAGATGGATCCTAAGGTTAAGGAAACAAAAAGTCAGCTACTTGTTGAGGGTTTAGGGCAGAGCTGGTAGGGCAATTTTCTAAATTCCTACAAGAAAAAAACACATATTTTCAGGTGCCGTGGCTCATGCCTGTAATCCCAACACTTTGGGAGGCCAAGGCTAGAGGATCACTTGAGACCAGGAGTTCAAGATCAGCTTGGACAATATAGTAAGACCCCATCTCTTGGAAAAAAAAAGAACAAAAAATTAACCAGTCATGGTGGCATGTGTTTGTAGTCCCAGCTACTTGGGAGGATGAGGTGGGATGATCGCTTGAGTCCAGGGGTCCCAGGCTGCAGTGAGCTATGCTTGTGCCACTGAACTCCAGCCTGTGTGACAGAGTGAGACCGTCTCATAAACAAATAAAAATCACCCGTGACGTCCCCTCTGACACACTAAGATTATGTCAAAGCAATATTCTTTTTTCTTTTTTTTATTTGACACTGAGTCTCACTCTATTGCCCAGGCTGGAGTACAGTGGCGTGATCTCACTGCAACCTCCACCTCCTGAGTTCAGGCGATTCTGGTACCTCAGCCTCCCGAGCAGCTATTACTACAGGTGTGAGCCACCATGTCCGGCTAATTTTTGTATTTTTCGTAGAGACGGGGTTTCACCACGTTGGCCAGGATGGTCACAAACTCGACTTCAGGTGACCCACCCACCTCAGCTTCCCAAAGTGCTGGGATTACAGGCGTGAGCCACCGCGCCCGGCTGCAATGTTCTTTTCTAACACAGTAAGAAAACTCAGATTTACTTAGTGACAGGTTATTCTGGTGGTCTTTGGTGGGGAGACCTGGCAGTTGCAGTGAAGAGAGTTCACAAACAACTAAGTTTGGGAAATGCTGGCTTCCCACATTAAGACAAAGTAAATTTGGAATGGTTAGGAACTTCCTTTTGCAGTCCAGAGATTCAGTGGTGCCATCAACATATTAAATTAGGTAATATGGAAGTCCAGGGAGGAAGAAAACAATAAAGGAGGTGGGTGGTTAAGAACCGTAGAACTTCCTTTCCTGTCTTCCTCCTTATGCATGATGAACACAAGATACAGACAACGATGGGAACATCTGAACTAGTCAATATAATTAATTATTTTATAGTATGTATGCTGTAATTTATATTACCTCACCCTTACTGATCTTGAGACTGTGCCCTAATATTTTGCACCTTTACTTGGAGGATAAACTTCTTAGCCTATATACAATGGAAAGCTTCTGCGGCTCTAGCAACAATCTACCTCTAAAAGCCTTCATTCAGCTTTATTTTTAGAGAGAGGGTCTCGCTATATTGCCCAGGCTGGAGTGTACTGGCATGATCTTGGCTCACTGCAGATTTGACCTCCTGGGCTCAAGGGATTCTCCCACCTCAGCCTCTTGAGTAGCTGGGACCACAGGCTACGCCACCACACGCAGCTATTTTTTTTTTTGAGAGACAGGTTTAGCTATGTTGCCCAGAGGGGTCTCGAACTCCTGAGCTCAAGCAATCTGCCTCCCTCGGCCTCCCAAAGTGCTGGGAATACAGGAGTGAGCCACCGAGTCCGGCCTCAAGCTCTAAACTGCAGCAATAATCACTGGTAGTTCCTTTGCACTCAGTTTCCTAACCTTGAAATCCCACCCTTCCCGGGCACCCTTGCCAAGATTCCTAACCTTTCAACACAATGTACGCGGGACTTCCTTTTGGAAAGCCTTCTGCAAGCCTTCTGCAAGCCGTCCGGGTATGGTTCTGCAACACCCTGTGTATATCTCTATCACAGCACTCAGGCACTGCATTATATTTATTTGCTTACACGGCTATCTTTCCCACTCAGTTTATTTTCTTCTCCACAGAACCAAAGTCGAGTAAGCTGAGTTTCTTGAGGACAAATTCAGTAACGTGTATATATTTCAATCTCCAAGAGTTGTCGAGTACCAAACTGTGGAGCTCAATGTCAGATCAACTAAACTGGAGTGAGGTGGGAGGATAGATGGATGGGTCAGGAAAAAGAATTTTTCTTTTTTTCTCCCTGTGTGCTGGATTACAGGTGTGAGCCACCGCACCCAGCAAGGAAATATAATTTTTTTCTTTTTTTGAGACGGAGTCTCATTCTGTCACCCAGGCTGGAGTGCAGTGGCGCAAACTCGGCTCAAAGCAAACTCCGCATGCGGGTTCAAGCAATTCTCCTGCCTCAGCCTCCCGAATAGCTGGAATTACAGGTGACCGCCACCATGCCTGGCTAATTTTTGTATTTTTAGTAGAGACGGGGTTTCACCATATTGGCCCGGCTGGTCTCGAACTCCTGACCTTGTGATCCGCCCACCTCGGCCTCCCAAAGTGCTGAGATTACAGACGTGAGCCGGGCCAGGAAAGATAATTTCTAAGTAGGAAATGTTGTAGGTCCTGGGAGGACCTCAGTAGGTTGGGAGAAGTGCACAGTGGTGAGTTACAGGATGGCAATGAGGTCACAGAACTATGAAGTCAAGGTCAACAATAACGCATACGAGAAAAACTGACAAGTGGCGCAACAAGGGGTAGCGGGTCTCCAGGACGTGGCATTAGGACGTGCTTGTTGAGGGGCAGGTATTTGGAAGCAGGCCCCACTTTCGAGTTGTCTTTCCGCAGGAACCAGAGAGTGCGGTCGGGAACAGGAAGCAGGAACTGTTAGGGAGATAAGGAAGGTGCTACTGCCCACATCCATCCTCTACGGCCACAAGGTCAGGGGAGCCAGGCTGCCTCCTCACAGCATCAGCGTTTTCTTCGGCTTCACTTCCCTCTGGAAAGCGCTTTCTCACCGACGCTGCAGAGACCTTAGGGGCAGCCCCTGCCCTCCTACCCTCCAAGGAGCCACCACTCTAGAGCCCACGCTCCTCTGGATATCATGTGACTTGGGGGACTACTTGCCTTTCTTTTGAAACACGGCTACAGACTATGAGTTAAAAACACTGGGCTTAGCGCCCCCTCAATAACAACGCAGCTATAGGACGGTACCCTCTCCCAGCCTGCCCGCCGCAGGAAGAGTTCCACTTCCTTCCCAGAAAACGAGGCCGGAAGGGGCGGGCTTTCAGCCTGGACCAGGCGCTTCCGCCACCATGGCTGCACGTGGGGTTGTTGGTATTTTTTTCCTCTCTGCTGTCCCCCTTGTGTGTCTGGAGCTCCGGCGTGGGATCCCGGATATAGGTAAGTGTTGACTTTTTCCCTTCGACAGTTACAGCTGGGTAATTTTCACAGGAATGTTGCATAGAATGACCGCTTCTTCGGCTGCGTCGCTTCGGAGCGGCTTTGACTACAACTCCCAGACTGCATCGTGCTTGCCTCCCACTTCCGGAGCCGACTTCACTTCGGGGAATTTTTCCCTCCAGGGGTGATGGTTTTGCGTGTAAGAGAGTAGCGGCAAAGAGCACAGGGGCAATCATAGACAGTGCTTTCGTATCCTGGTGAACATTCAAAAGGAAATCAACAGGTTGATAAGATGAAGGCCTTCTGAGAATTTAGGCTGAGAGGTTTTTTGTTTTGTTTTTAAATTAGAGACAGGGTCTCACTATGTTGCCCAGGCTGGTCTCGAACTCCTGGGTTCAAGAGATCCTGCCTCGGCCTCTCAAAGTGCTGGGATTACAGGCCTGCGCCACTGCGCCTGGCCCTGAGATTTAAATAAGGGGCCACACCCGTGAAAAGCCAGTGGGGGCAGGGAAGGGGTTGGGGAGGGGAGGAGTATTCTAGGCAAAAAGATTGTGACATGTTGGAGGAAAAGGTGAAGGCCATTGTGGCTGAATCAAGGAGAGCTGGGAAGAGGAGGAGGAATTGGCTCAGGATAATGACTTTTGTTGAACACCTATTATAAGCCAAATACCAGGTGCTAGTTATTATCTCATTTAATCTGCACTGCAGTCAGAGGAGGGTAGCACTATTATAATCCCCATTTTACAGCTGAGGGAACTGAAATTTAGGGAGATTAAGTGACTTCCCTAAGGCTTTAAAAAGGTCACTCGATTCTGTATGGAGAGTGCTTTGGACGGAAGCTATGGTGGAAGCAGTGAGGCACGTCAGGCTTTGGAAGTTGACAAGTGGTGATGATGGGCTGGACTAGGACAGTAAAAGAGGAGATGAAATGTAGACAGATTTGGGATATTGACGAAGCAGGATCAACCAACAGGCTTGTTTATGGGTTGATGTTAGGGGCAAGGGAAAGGAAGGATTCAAGGACGACTGCCTCATGGGGGATTGAACAAACCTAGGTATTTGGTAGTGCTACTGGTAAAGGGAAAATGGAAAGAAAAACAGTGGAGATGCTGAGAATCATGAGTTGATTTTTGGACATTTCAGTGATCAGTTTACATGTCTGTCTCCCTTTTTAAGGTCAATTCTAAAGTTAGGGACCATAATGAAACTTGGCTTTGTGTACCCCCTCTCTTATTCCACCTTTTCTCCTTGCTCACAAGGAGTCAGATGCCTAGAAATGTTGCCTGCAATAAGAAATGAAAATAAAATGCTTTAAAAAAAAATGTACAAAGACTTTCCTAATGCTTCCCACTCACTCAAGCTGTGTTGGAATGTAACAAGACTTATCCAAAGGATCAGAAATGTTGATTTCACACTCACCATTTCCAAAATTCACCTGTTCCCTTGTCTTTTCAACATCCACCCCTACTCTGCTCATTTATTATTTATTTGAGACAAGGTCTTGCTTGGTCACCCAGGCTGCAGTGCAGTGGCACGGTCATGGCTTACTGCAGAGCCTGGACCTCCCGGCTCAAGTGATCCTCACACCTCAGCCTCCTGAGTGGCTAGGACTACAGGTGCCACACCACCATGCCCAGCTAATTTTTTGTATTTTTTGCAGAGAAGTGGTTTTGCCATGTTGCCCAGACTGGTTTGGAACTCCTAGGCTCAAGCAATCTGCCCACCTCGGCCACCCAGAATGCTGGGATTATAGGTGTGAGCCACCATGCCCAGCCAGAAATATGTTTCTTGAAAGCAGAGACCAAATGGAATTTGTTTTTGTATTCCCAGCACTTACCAGTCTCTAGTTTAATAGAACTAGGGACAAGGGTTCTAGAAATTGCACCTGGGCTCCTGGCAGCATCTTTGTCTAGTTCTTGAAATTTTCATGGAATTAGCTTCTTTCTCAGAATTCTGAATGAATGATTGTTTCCTTTGGATTGTTTTCCCTTTTTAAGTTTTTTTTGTTAATATATTTTTTTTCCTTTTTTTTTGTTTTTGCTACCTTTGGATTCTTGATAGTGAGCTTCCAATAATTATTTGTTAACAGTATTTAAGTCTGTTTTACATATCATACTTTATACCAGCAACAGGGCTGGTTATGCCTATACTAATATTCAGACATATATTGAAAAACTAGCCTTGTCTTTTTTTTTTTTTGAGACGGAGTCTCGCTCTGTCACCCAGGCTGGAGTGCAGTGACACGATCTTGGCTCACTGCAAGCTCCGCCTCATGGGTTCATGCCATTCTCCTGCCTCAGCCTCCCAAGTAGCTGGGACTACAGACGCCCGCCACGATGCCCAGCTAATTTTTTGTATTTTTAGTAGAGACAGGGTTTCACTGTGTTAGCCAGGATAGTCTCGATCTCCTGACTTGGTGATCCACCCGCCTCGGCCTCCCAAAGTGCTGGGATTACAGGCGTGAGCCTCTGTGCCCGGCCTGCGTTGTCTTTTTCTACTGTGTAAAAAAACTTTTGTTGTCAATACATTTTACTTGTACTTAAGCTAAATTTTTTTTTTTTTTTTTTTTTTTTTTTAAGATGGAGTCTTACCCTGTCACCCAGGCTGGAGTGCAGTGGTGCAATCTCGGCTCACTGCAACTTCCACCTTCAGGGTTCGAGCAATTCTCCTGCCTCAGCCTCCTGAGTAGCTGGGACTACAGGCATGTGCCACCATGACCGGCTAATTTTTTTTGTAGTTTTAGTAGAGACAAGGTTTCACTATGTTGTGCCAGGTTGGTCTCCAACTCCTGACCTTGTGATCCACCTGCCTCGACCTCCCAAAGTGCTGGGATTACAGGCGTGAGCCACCATGCCTGGCCTAAGCTAAATATTTTAAGGCCAGTTCCTCATGTTTGTTATCCATTGAAGTACACTGCTTATGGGGTCTGTAGTTTAAGTACACAGAAAAAATCCAGCACTCTGGGAGGCTGAAGTGGGCGAGTCATGAGGTCAAGAGATTGAGACCATGCTGGCCAACATGGTGGAACCCTGTCTCTACTAAAAATACAAAAATTAGCGGAGCATGGTAGCGCATGCCTGTAGTCCCAGCTACTCGGAAGGCTGAGGCAGGAGAATCGCTTGAATCTGGGAGGTGGAGGTTGCAGTGAGCTGAGATTGCAGCACCATGCTCCAGCCTGGCAACAGAGCGAGACTCTGTCTCAAAAAAAAAGCGAAAAAAAAAAAAAAACCTTAAAAATTTTTTTTTCTCAAAAGATATACACACAAGTAGAGTTCTTTCGTATTCCCATGTGGTGTTTGCAGATTGCTTGTTAGAACAAACAGCAGTAGTATGAAACATAAATCCCACGCCTCAATGGTTTTTCTTTTGAGACAGAGTCTTACTCTGTTGCCCAGGCAGGAGTGCAGTGGTGCAATCTCAGCTCACTGCAATCTCTGCCTCCCAGGTTCAAGCCATTCTCATGTCTCAGCCTCCCAAGTAGCTAGGATAACCAGTGTTCACCACTATGCCTGGCTAATGTTTGTATTTTTAGTAGAGATGGGGTTTCACCATGTTGCCCAGGCTGGCTACGAACTCCTGAGTTCAAGTGATCCACCCACCTCAGCCTCTCAAAGTGCTGGGATTATAGGTGTGAGCCACTGTGCCTTGCCTCAGTGGTTTCTTTTCTTTTTTTTCTTTTTTTTTTTTTTTTTGAGACGGAGTCTCGCTCTATCGCCCAGGCTGGAGTGCAGTGGCCGGATCTCAGCTCACTGAAAGCTCCTCCGCCTCCCGGGTTCACGCCATTCTCCTGCCTCAGTCTCCCGAGTAGCTGGGACTACAGGGGCCCACCACCTTGCCGAGCTAGTTTTTTGTATTTTTTAGTAGAGAGGGGGTTTCACCATGTTAGCCAGGATGGTCTCGATTTCCTGACCTCGAGATCCACCCGTCTCGGCCTCCCAAAGTGCTGGGATTACAGGCTTGAGCCACCGCGCCCGGCCACTTTTCTTTTTTTTTTTTTTCTGAGACGGAGTCTAACTTTGTCGCCCAGGCTGGAGTACAGTGGCGAGATCTCGGCTCACTGCAAGCTCCGCCTCCCACGTTCACGCTATTCTCCTGCCTCAGCCTCCGAGTAGCGAGGTCTACAGGCGCCCGCCACAATGCCCAGCTAATTTTTTGTATTTTTTAGTAGAGATGGGGTTCACCATGTTAGGCAGGATGGTCTCTATCTCCTGACCTCGTGATTCTCCTGCCTCGGCCTCCCAAAATGCTGGGATTACAGGTGTGAGCCACCGCGCCCGGCCTCAGTGGTTTGTTTACATACCAATACTCTAGACATTAAACTACTTTTGTATTGGCCAGAGATAAAATAAATTAAATTATATGTCATATTGAATAACACCTGAATCAATAGTTAATACTGTCAAGTTGGAAGAGCTGTGATTTTTTTTTTTTAAGTCATACTTCTTCTCTAAACAACTTTAAATTGGTAGGGTTTTAAAAAGAATAATATTAGGCCAAGCATGGTGGCTCATGCCTGTAATCCCAGCACTTTGGGAGGCCAAGAAGCGGGCATCATTTGGAAATATATATACATATATATATAATCTGATAGCCCACATCTGTGGTGCCAGCTACTTGGGAGGCTGACATGGGACCATTGCTTGAGCCCTGGAGGTCGTGGCTGCAGTGAGCTGTGATCAGCTGCTGCACTCCAGCCTGGGCAAGAGAGTGAGATTCCATCTAAAAAAAAAAAAAAAAAAGGTAAGAAAAAGGTAAGAATATACATCTGTTTTCAGTTTAAAATAAAACATTTACGTCTGTAAACTCTGTCGCCCAGGCTGGAGTGCAATGGCCTGATCTCTGCTCACTGTATTCTCCACCTCCCGGGTTCAAGCCATTCTTCTGCCTCAGCCTCCCAAGTGGCTGGGATTACAGGTACCCACCATCATGCCTGGCTAATTTTTATATTTTGGTAGAGGTGGAGATTTCACCATGTTGGCCAGGTTGATCTTGAAGTCCTGACCTCAGGTGATATGCCTGCCTTGGCCTCCCAAAGTGCTGGGATTACAGGCATGAGCCATCTCTCCCAGCCTATATATATGTTTTTCTAATTCCTTCTTTAAGTTTTAGTTAATTGACTACCAGCCTTGATCACATTGGATTCCTCTGTATCTCTGCCATTTATCTTTTGAGAATTAAAAACACAAGAGTAAAAATTCCGAAAGGATGGAAATCATTTTTAACTCGGCTTTGTCTCCTGTCCTTCAACATTTGCCAAATTGTATTATGCAAAGTAGGTAGTAGATTTTTGCTCAAATAATTTTCACTTTGATTCTTAATATAAGACCAAATACTGGGCCGGGCGCGGTGGCTCACGCCTGTAATCCCAGCACTTTGGGAGGCCGAGGCGGGTGGATCACAAGGTCAGGAGATTGAGACCACGGTGAAACCCCGTCTCTACTAAAAATACAAAAAATTAGCCGGGCGCGGTGGCGGGCGCCTGTAGTCCCAGCTACTCAGGAGGCTGAGGCAGGAGAATGGCGTAAACCCAGGAGGCGGAGCTTGCAGTGAGCCGAGATCGCGCCACTGCACTCCAGCCTGGGCGACAGAGCGAGACTCCGTCTCAAAAAACAAAAAACAAAAAAAAAAACAAAAAAAAAAAGACCAAATACTGGCTGGGTGCGGTGGCTTATGCCTGCAGTCCCAGCACTTTGGGAGGATGAGGTAGGCAGATCACCACCCGCTCCTGGTCAGGAGTTCGAGACCAGCCTGTCCAATGTATGAAACCTTGTCTCTACTGAAAATACAAAATTAGCGAGGCATGGTGGTGCATGCCTGTAGTCCGAGCTACCCAGGAGGCTGAGACAAGAGAATAGCTGGAACCCGGGAGGCAGAGGTTGCAGTAAGCCAAGATTGCACCACTGCACTCCAGCCTGGGCAACAGAGTGAGCCTCCATCTCAATAAATAAATAAATAAATAAATAAAAAGACCAAATACTAAATTTTTACTTTTTCCTCGGCAAGCATGTAAATTGTAATTTTACTTACAAGTGACTAAATGTCAAGAAATACAGAAGCACACAGTTACACAATTGTGAGAAATAAGGATTTGGTGTTTCAGTGAGAATGTTTATCATAGAACTAGAATTTGAATTTGACAGGATGATTTCTTTTTTTCTTTTCTTTTTTTTTTTTTTGAGACGGAGTCTCTCTCTGTCGCCCAGGCTGGAGTGCAGTGGTGCGATCTCTGCTCATTGCAAGCTCCGCCTCCTGCGTTCATGCCATTTTCCTGCCTCAGCCTCCCAAGTAGCTGGGACTACAGGTACCCGCCACCACTCCCGGCTAATCTTTTGTATTTTTAGTCGAGACAGGGTTTCACCGTGTTAGCCAGGATGGTCTTGATCTCTTGACCTCGTGATCTGCCCACCTCAGCTTCCCAAAGTGCTGGGATTACAGGCGTGAGCCACCACACCCGACCAACACGATATTTTCACAATTTTATTTCTAGTTATGTAATTTTCTCTATATGGGAAACTACAACTTATACATTACTGATATTCATATTTTTAGTGTAGCTGATTGCTCTAATTATAACTGTATTCCCAAGATAGTGTTTATTCTAGAATTATGCTCTGTACATTTGTTCTGGAAATGACAACCATTATGAGTTTTTTAATGCCCAAAGGAGAACACAGTAAGCCCTCTGTATCCGTGAGTTCCACATCCGAGGATTTAAGCACCTGTGGATTGAGACTATTCAGAAAGGGCTGGGTGTGGTGTCTCACTCCTACAATCCCAGGACCTTGGGAGGCTGAGGCGAGCAGATTGCCTGAGTTCAGGAGTTCAAGACCAGACTGTACCACATGGCGAGACCCCATCTCTACAAAAAATACAGAAATTAGCCGGGTGTGGTGGTGCGTGCCTGTAGTCCCAGCTACTTGGCGGGGCTAAGGCAGGAGGATCATTTGAGCCCCAGGAGGTTGAGGCTGCAGTGAGCCGTGTTCTCACCACTGCACTCCAGCAGCCTGGGTGGCAGAGCAAGACCAAGAAGAGCAACACACTGTCTCTTAAAGAAGGAAAGAAAAGAAAATATTCAGAAAAAAAATGGGGTAAATGAATGTTTGTCTGTCTGTCCCGACCATGTACAGACTTTTTTCCCTGTCCATAAACAGTAAAGTATAGCAACTATTTATAGAGCCTTTACGCTGTATTGGGTAGTATATGAGTAATCTATAGATGATTTAAAGTATGTAGGAGCATAGACTATATGTGAACACTATGCCATTTTATATCAGGTACTTGAACATCCGTGGATTTTGGTATACTCAGGAGTCCTGGAACCAATACCCCATGCATACTAAGGGATGACTATATATGAACAAAATCATAAGACAGTTATATAACTTTACTTTCCCAGTACAGATAATCTTCTAATGTGTTATAATTTATTAGGAGTATCAAGAAAACTGTTTTGGGTTGGGCGTGTTGGCTCACGCCTATTATCCTAGCTAGCACTTTGGGAGGCCAAGGCAGGAGGATCACTTGAGCTCAGGAGTTTGAGACCAGCCTAGTCAACATAGTGAGACCTCGTCTCTTAAAACAAAAAGTTTTGAATTTTAATTTTTTTTTTTCCTTCGTCAGGAATCAAGGATTTTCTTTTGCTTTGTGGCCGGATTTTCTTACTGCTTGCTCTTCTTACTTTAATTATTTCTGTGACTACCTCATGGCTTAACTCATTTAAATCTTCCCAAGTTTATCTGAAGGGTAAGTTTATTATTTATGCTACCCTTTTATGCCATTCTACTCAAATTTCTTTCCTTTATTTATTCTAGAACTTTGCACAGTAAGAACCATTTTACTATTAATTTGTGATGTGTCGTTTCAGGGAGAGTAATCATCACAACTTTAGTCATGATTTTGTGTGTGGTTTTTAAAAATTAGTGATGATGGCTTTGCATGGACTATATCCCAACATTTTTATGAGAAATTGTACATTTTTCTCATATATATGTGTTTTTAAGCTATATCATTTCTAAGTTGTTATATGGTAAATTCCCTAATTTTAAATTGTGTGTTTGTGTTGCTTAACTGCCGTTTGATACCTACAGTTTATGAGCTGTTCTACTGAGTGAAAGTATCTATCATTAACCTTTTTTTTTTTTTTTGGAGATGGAGTCTCGGAGTGCAGTGGCACAATCTTGGCTCACTGCAACCTCCGCCTCCTGGGTTCAAGCGATTCTCCTGTCTCAGCCTCCCGAGTAGCTGGGACTACAGGCATGCACCACCATGCCTAGCTAAATTTTGTATTTTTAGTAGAGATGGGGCTTCACCATGTTTGCCAGGATGGTCTTGATCTCTTGACCTCGTGATCCGCCTGCCTCAGCCTCCCGAAGTTGGGATCACAGGCATGAGACAGCACGCCCTGCCGATCTACCATTAATCTTGAAAGGCTTTTCATCCTAATTTTTTGTTCCATTCTAGCAGTTTTTACTTAGACACCTTTGTCTTTTATATGTAAATGTTTTTAATTTTAGGAAATCATGCTTGCTTTTGGTTTTTAAATTTGAGACAGAGTCTCGCTCTGTCACCCAGGCTGGAATGCAGTGGCATGATCTTGGCTCACTGCAGCCTCCTCCTCCCAGGCTCAAGTGATCCTCTTGCCTCAGCTTCCCAAGTAGTTGGGACTACAGGTGTGTACCACTGCATCTGGCTAATTTTTGTAGTTTTTGTAGAGGTGGGATTTCGCCATGTAGCCCAGGCTGGTCTCTAGCTCCTGAGCTCAAGTGATCCACCTGCCTCAGTCACCCAAAATGCTGAGATTGCAGGCTTGACCACTTCGCCTAGCCTGTTTCATTTTTGATAAGCAAAAGTTTGTGAGTCCTAGAAGCCTTTTAAAATAATATTGTACTTAGCCTCAGAATCTTAAAACCAAAAACTACATATTTTCTATGCTACTAGGAAGAAGCTTGTCATTAGTGAATTTGGTACATTGTGTTTTCACTGTTTATTTAAATGTAAGTAAATAAAAGGAAAGTGACCAGTGTTGAATGTATAGCCCTTTCAAATTAACTATGAATAAAACCATAATCCTAAAAGGTTATATTATTCAACCCAAACATAAATGACAGTGTGATATTTTAGGGTCTCCCAACCATAGACTTCAGATTTTTTTTCTTTCTTTTGATAAATTATTTGATTGGTTATACTTCAAATGAGATATTTGGGAAGTAAAAAGCACTTTCATGTTTTGATGTCTTAGAAGAAGAAGAAAAGAATGAGAAAAGACAAAAACTTGTGAGAAAAAAACAACAAGAGGCACAAGGAGAGAAGGTAAGCCAGAATTTTTAGAGACTTTATGCATAGAGAAATACAAAAATCTCTGAGGCAATTAAAAATAAGGTCTGTTGCTTCTGTGTTTGTGCTAAGATTTAAAAAATATATATTGAGGTCAAATTCATGTGACATAAACTTGACCATTTTATGTTACTTGTTTTTGAAATGGAGTCTCACGCTGTCACCTAGGCTGGAAAGCAGTGGTGAGATCTTGGCTCACTGCAATCTCCACCTCCCAGGTTCAAGCGATTCTCCCGCCGCAGCCTCCCAAGTAGCTAGGATTATAGGCATGCACCACCACACCCAGCTAATTTTTGTATTTTTAGTAGAGATGTGGTTTCGCCATATTGGCCAGGCTGGTCTTAAACTCCTGACCTCAGGTGATCCGCCTGCCTTGGCCTTCCAAAATGCTGGGATTACAGACATGAGTCACTGTGCCCAGCCACAATTGACCAGGCTGTTCAGTGACATTTAGTACATTCACAAGGTTGTACAACTACCACCTCTGTTCCATCTCCCATGAAGAAAACCGTATACTCTTTAAACAGTCACTCCCCACTTTCCCCTCCTCCCATCCTCTGGCAACTACCAGTCTGCTTTCTGTTGGTATGAATTTACCTATTGTGGATGAATAATATTGCATTGAATAGATATACTTTTTTTTTTTTTTTTTTTTTGAGACTGGGCCTCTCTCTGTTGCCCAGGCTGGGGTGGAGTGGTACAACCATAGCTCACTGTCACCTCAAATTCCTGGGTTCATGGGATCCTCCTGCCTCAGCTTCCTGGGTAGCTGGAACTATAGACACAAACACACCACCACGTTCAGCTAATTTTTTTAAAATTTTGGGTCAGGCATAGTGGTACATGCCTGTAATTCCAGCACTTTGGGAGGCTGAGACGGGTGGATCACGAGGTCAAGAGATCAGGACCATCCTGGCCAACATGGTGAAATCCCATCTCTGCTAAAAATATAAAAATTAGCTGGGTGTGGTGGCATGTGCCTGTAGTCCCAGCTACTAGGGATGCTGAGCCAGGAGAATGACTTGAACCCAGGAGGCAGGGGTTGCAGTGAGCCAAGATTGTGACAGTGCACTCCAGCCTGGCGACAGAGTGAGACGCCATTTAAAAAACAAAAAATTTGACCAGGCTTGGTGTTTTCCACCTGTAATCCCAGCACTTTGGCAGGCAGAGGCAGGTGGATCACTTGAGGTGAGGAGTTTGAGACCAGCCTGGCCAACATGATGAAACCCCATCTCTACTAAAAATACAATAATTAGCTGGGCATGGCGATGGGCACCTGTAGTCCCAGCTACTTGGGAGACTGAGGCTGGAGAATCACTTGAACCCAGGAGCCGGAGGTTGCAGTGAGTGGAGTCTGCACCACTGCACTCCATCCTGGGCGACAGAGTGAGACTCCGTCTCAAAACAAAAACAAAACAAAAATGAAGGATGTTGGCTTCCCTTTCCAGATTTAAGACCTGAAATTCTGAAGATGACACTTGGTTTCCCATTTGTGACAAATCCTTGGAGTTACCATACTGGCATTCCATTTGAATCAGGATATGGGATTGTTCCCAGCATGAAAACCACAACCTGGTTGATAGTTTCATAATCAGGCAGGTAAAAAACCAATGTCTGTCCAGCTTGCTGTCTACCTGTTGGCACGAGCCTCCCCGCAGCCAAGCAGCCAAACAGGGTGGCAGTGGCTCTGTTCAGCCAGCAGGGCTCTTACTTGGTTCTTATTTACAACTTTATAGATAGCGTACATTTTAAGGAACATTAATGTATAGTAACAACGCCTAATTTGTTGTTTTGAACAGGCCAGCAGATACATAGAGAACGTTTTAAAACCTCACCGGGAAATGAAATTGAGAAAACTGGAGGAGCGCTTTTATCAAATGACGGGTGAAGCCTGGAAATTAAGCAGTGGTCACAAACTTGGGGTTGGAAAATATTCTCATTTTATATTTTGAATCCTCTTACTGTGTTTCCTATTACATGATTGATTTGTAATTGAAACTGATGTTAGTCTGTTTTTAGGAGTTTTTATTGATAATGATTGTATATCAGTTTTTGTTCAGCATACTTGTTTATCGCATGGTTAAGGGGTTGGTCTTTGTTTTTAAAAGACAGGGTCTCTCTCTGTTGCCCAGGCTGGGGTGCAGTGGCACGATCGTAGCTCACTGCAGCCTCAAACTCCAGGGCTCAAAGGATCTTCCTACCTCAGCTTCTTAAGTTGCTAGGACTACAGGTGCACCCTACCATGGACTGCACCTGGCTGGTGAAGTGTTTTTTGGTGCCTAAAGAGCATATAACTTGGTTCCTTAAAAAGCTGTTGTGGTGGCTCATGCCTGTAATCCCAGCAATTTGGGAGGACGAGGCAGGCAGATTGCTTGAGACCAGGAGTTTGAGACCAGCCTGGGCAACATAGGAAGACCTTGTCTTCTAAAAAAAAAAAAAAAAAAAAAAAAAAAATTAAAAATTAGCCAGACGTGATAGTGTGTGGCTGTAGTTTCAGCTACTTGGGAGGTTGAGGCAGGAGGATCACTTGAGCCCAGGAGGTCAAAAGGCTGCAGTGAGCTGTGACCACCACTGCACTCCAGCCTGGGAGACAGAGCAAGACCCTTTCTCCAAAAAACAAACAAACAAAAACTGTGGCATAAGATAGTCTTTAAAACTGTTGAATAAATTGCTGTTGTCTTATACGAGGGCAAGAACATTCTGATCTTTCCTCAAGTCAAGATCTCCAAGGTATTAAGCTCATGTTATGTATGTTATTATATATTCTGATTTTTAAGTCAAATTAAACTTTGGTTATGTTTTCCTTCAGCATTGTATATGAATTTTATCAGTTTCTACAGAAGTTTACAATTTTAAGTTTTCTTTTTTTTTTTTGAGGCGGAGTCTCGCTCTGTTGCCCAAGATGGAGTGCAGTGGCGCCATCTCAGCTGACTGCAACCTCTGCCTCTCAGGTTCAAGGGATTCTTCTGCCTCAGCTAATTTTTGTTTTTGAGACAGAGTCTCAACTCCATCACCCAGGCTAGAGTGCAGTGGCGTGATGTCGGCTCCCTGCAACCTCCGCCTCCTAGGCTCAAGCGATTTTCCTGCCTCAGTCTCCCGAGTAGCTGGGATTACAGGTGCCTGCCACCATGCCTGGCTAATTTTTGTATTTTTTTTAGTAGAGGTGGGGTTTCACCATGTTGACCAGGCTGGTCTCCAACTCCTGACCTCCAGTGATCTGCCCACCTCGGCGTCCTGAAATTCTGGGATTACAGGTATGAGCCACTGCACCCAGCCAATTTCTGTATTCTTTTAGTAGAGACAGCGTTTCACTGTGTTAGCCAGGCTGGTCTTGGACTCCTGACTTCAGGTGATCTGCCTTCCTCAGTCTCTTAAAGTGCTGGGATTACAGGTGTGAGCCACAGCACCCTGCTAAAGCCTCGTGTTTTCTTGTTGACGGAGATAATGCTTTAATTTTTTGGGTCTCATAATGGCTTGCTAATATTTTTCTGCTGACATGCCATCAGGGTAAAAAAAAAGAAAAAGGAAAAACAATTGTGAATATACTAAAGTTGATAGAAAACATCTCTTTAGAAACCGTCTGTTGTGTTTGACCAGGGTGATGAAGGTACAAGTCAGTCATCTTTTGAAACATCAAATAGAGAAGCAGCAAAGAGCCAGAACTTGCCTAAACCTTTAACTGAATTTCCATCTCCTGCTGTACAGCCCACATGCAAGGAGGTAAAGTACTTCATGCCTGTCATTGAATTGTGTTTGTGTGCAGTAGGAGGATCAAACTCTGGGTGAGGTGGTGTACTGGGTGAAGATCAGGACTGGCCTTTTATCCAGATGGTGTCTTCCCACTACCTTACAAAGTGATCACCTTTATTAAGAATAGGCTGGGCGCCGTGGCTGATACCTGTAATCCCAACACTTTGGGAGGGTTGAGGCCAGGAGTTTAAGCCCAGCCTGGCCAACATGGTGAAACCCCATCTCTATTTAAAAAAAAAAAAAAAAGATTTTTCCTTGTTCAATATTAATATTAATGCTCTGAATCCAACTTGGAAGCAATAAAGACAAATGCTAATAGGTTTAGAAAATACTCAATTATTGACTGGACATGGTGGCTTTACGCCTGTAATCCCAGCACTTTGGGATGCCAAGGCAGGCAGATCAGCTGAGGTCAGGAGTTCAAGATCAGCCTGGCCAACATGGTAAAACCCCATCTCTACTAAAAATACAAAAATATTAGCTGGGCGTGGTAGCAGGCGCCTGTAATCCCAGCTACTGAGGAGGCCGAGACAGGAGAATTGCTTGAACCCAGGAGGTGGAGGTTGCAGTGAGCCAAGATTGCACCATTGCACTCCAGCCTGGATGACAATAGTGAAACTCTGTCTCAAAAAAAAAAAAAGGGCTGGGCGTGGTGGCTCATGCCTGTAATCCCAGCAGTTTGGGAGGCCGATGTGGGTGGATCACAAGGTCACGAGTTCAAGACCAGCCTGGCCAAGATGGTAAAACCCCGTCTCTACTAAAAATACAAAAATTAGTGGCAGGCACCTGTAATCCCAGCTACTTGGGAGGCTGAAGCAGGAGACTCTCTTGAACCCGGGGGAGGGGAGGTTGCAGTGAGCCTAGATCACACCACTGCACTCCAGCCTGGGCGATAGAGTGAGACTGTGTCTCAGAAAAAAAAAAATACTCAATTTTTTTTTTTTTTTTTTTTTTTTTTGAGACGGAGTCTCGTTCTGTCGCCCAGACTGGAGTGCAGTGGCGAGATCTCAGCTCACTGCAAGCTCCGCCTCCTGGGTTCACACCATTCTCCTGCCTCAGCCTCCTGAGTAGCTGGGACTACAGGCACCTGCCACTGCACCAGGCTAATTTTTTTGTATTTTTAGTAGAAACGGGGTTTCACCGTGTTAGCCAGGATGGTCTCCATCTCCTGACCTCATGATCCTCCCACCTTGGCCTCCCAAAGTGCTGGGATTACAGGTGTGAGCCACTGTGCCCGGCCAAAAATACTCAATTCTTTTTAAGGAATTTGATTATGTAAAAATGAAAAATATAATGCTTACGAAGGGAAGCGTTCCTGTTGACTTAAGACATTATCAAGCCCTGTCTTGTGAGTGGCTAATAGCTGTCATTAACATGAGTGTATAATTTTCCTTATCGGCCCTTCTAGGGAATAGATTAGCAATCAGTCACTTTGGGTTAGTGCCCAGGTTTATTATACATGTTTTTCATTCAAATCTTCAATCCCTAACGTAATTCCGATTGGAGCTGGGAAAGATTGGAAATAAGAAATCTGTTTTTACCGGCCCTTAGGGAAAGCTGGGAGGCTGTCTATTCCCTGAAAATAGTTTCTAAGATACTGCTTCTCAATCTGAGATTTCCTGGTCCCATAGTGGAGATTAAGCAGAGGAATCAGATTATTGAACTATCACTGACATTTGAAAAAGGTCAATATGAACTAAACGGACTGACTAAAAACTCATGTTTGTGTTTTGTTAATAACACTATCTTATTGCTGATGGCAGATTTTACTTGGCAGTCACATATGCTTTTGATACCAAAGGAAAACAAATGAGTTATTTAGTAAATGCAAGTAAGGTTAGATTACATGTTATAAAATATATTCTGTGGTATTAATCAATAAAGAGAGTTCCTGGAGATGAAGTCATTGGTAACAAATGTTTTAATGAAAGAAAATGGTCTAAATATCTGGATTGTTTTATTTTTATTTTTTTGAGACAGGGCCTCACTCTGTCACCCAGGCTGGAGTGCAGTGGCACAGTCATGGCTCACTGCAGTCTCTGCCTCCTGGGTTCAAGAGATTCTCGTGCCTCAACTTCCTAAGTAGCTAGGATTACAGGCATGCGCCAGCACTCCTGGCTAATTTTTGTATTTTTAGTAGAGATGGGGGTATCATCATGTTGACCAGGCTGGTCTTGAACTCCCGACCTCAGGTGATCTGCCTGCCTCAGCCCCCGAAAGTGCTGGGATTACAGGCGTGAGCCACCACACCCAACCCAATATCCGGATTCTTAATAGATTAATGGAAATAGGGAAACATGAGTAAATGACAGAAGCAACCAAAGTAAATGGTTTCTGTCAGTCACCTGGGAGTGTGAGTGACAATAAGTGCATATTCATGTTAAAATTTGTATATGGGCCAGGCGTGGTGGCTCACACCTGTAATCCCAGCACTTTGGGAGGCTGAGGCGGGTGGATCACAAAGTTAGGAGATCAAGACCATCCTGGCTAACTCGGTGAAACCCCGTCTCTACTAAAAAATACAAAGAATAAGCCTGGCATGGTGTGGGGCGCCTGTAGTCCCAGCTACTTGGGAGGCTGAGACAGGAGAATGGTGTGAACCCGGGAGGTGAAGCTTGCAGTGAGCTGAGTTTGCGCCACTGCACTCCAGCCTGGGCGACAGGGCGAGACTCCGTCTCAGAAAAAAAATAAGTAAATAAAATAAAATGTGTATATGTTTGAAGCAAAATAATTTTGGGGTCTAATTTTGTTTTTTTTTTTTAAAGACGGAGGCTTGCTCTGTCACCCAGGCCGGAATGCAGTGACACAACCTCAGCTCATTGCAACCTCTGCTTCCTGGGTTCCAAGTGATTTTCCTGCCTTAGCCTCCTGAGTAGCTGGGATTATGGGCACCTGCCATCATGCCTGGATAATTTCTGTATTTTTGTAGAGATGGGGTTTCACCATGTTCGCTACGCTGATCATGAACTCTTGACCTCAAGTGATCCATCCGCCTCGGCCTCCCAATGTGTTGGGATCACAGGCGTGAGCCATTGTGCCTGGCTGATTCATGTTAATATTTATCCTGTTTTTATGTAAATGTATGTGTATATGCATACACATCATGTTTTTTGTGTTTTTTTTTTTTTTAAGTGACAGTCTTGCTTTGTTGCAATGGTTAGCCTTGAACTTCTGAGCTCAAATGATCCTCCTGCCTCAGCCTCCTGAGTTGCTGGGATTCCAGACATGAGCCACTGTATCTGGCTGTTTTTAAAAAAAATAGTACATTTTTATATATTAGTAATATTTTGGAACATAATAGAAGCAAAATCCTTTAAATATGTATAGCTTGGGAGCTATTATCTCAAATCCTATTTTTATGATTAATTTTAGCACACTTGCCCAAAAATGTTTATTAATTGAGCTATTTGCACTATAAACTTTTTATAGATGTATAAAGATTTAAGTAAGCTTAGATGTGTGTCTAAACCCTGTATTGAGAGGAACTCTTCTCGCTGACACTTTTGTTTGCTTCTTGAAAATGTTTACATTCCTCTTACCAATCCTTTTCTTTAGATTCCTGATTTACCTGAAGAACCTTCTCAAACAGCAGAAGAAGTAAGTCTGTTATTCTCCTTGAAAAGTAAACTTATTTTCTATTTTCTTTGCTTAACATCCATTAAATATGTCTTATCTAAGCTTGGGTTTAGAAAGATATGATAGCGTAAGTGTTCACGTGATTGTACTGTAACTAGGTCTTTTTTAGAACATAGAGACAGGGTCTCACTATGTTGCCTAGGCTGGCCTTGAACTCCTGGGCTCAAGTGATCCACCTGCCTCCGCCTCCTAGTTAGTCAGTCTTATTTGGAATGCAGTGTAGTATCAAATTCCTCAGCATGAGTCCTATTTTGCAAGCCTGCTGTGTGCTGAGTTTTTTTTTGAGATGAAGTCTCGCTCTTGTCACTCAGGCTGGAGTGCAATGACATGATCTCAATTCACTGCAACCTCCGCTTCCCGAGTTCAAGCGATTCCCCTGCCTCAGCCTCCCAAGTAACTGCCACCACACCAGGCTAGTTTTTGTATTTTTAGTAGAGACGGGGTTTTACCAATTTGGCCAGGCTGGCCTGGAACTCCTGACCTCAGGTGATCTGCCTGTCTTGACCTCCCAAAGTGGTGGGATTACACCCACCCACTGCCTCAGGCATAGGATACACGTGGGCTTTTCCAGAAGTTTAGGTCAGATAATGCATGGCTTACTAAAACAGAATCAAAATAGGCATATGTCCCAGCACTTTGGGAGGCCAAGAGGGGAGGATTTCTTCAGCTTAGGAATTCAAGACCAGCCTGGGCAACATAGTGAGACCCTGTCACTACAAAAAGGAAAAAAACTAGGCAAATGACTTCAAATTGCAGTTCTCCTTTTCAAAGGAGAAAATGAAGAGGGCAACTACGTTGTAAGCTGTTTTAATTTAGGAGTGGTTTGCCGTTGGGGGCTGGGCTAGGACTGATCCCCAGCTGTTTCAAGCTGCCTTCTTCCCAGTTGCTGAGTCATAGTCCGTGGTGCCCTCCTGTCACTGGCCACCCTACTTATAGACACTTCCTCATGTATGGGGAGCACACACCTGTCTTGAAAGCCATTAAGTCATTTGGGCAGTAAATCCAGGAGAAGCCACTTCTTGGGGCTCGGCAACAGCTATACTCCTTGGAAACCTTTTTTTTTTTTTTTTGAGACAGGCTTTTGCTCTGTCTCATAGGCTGGAGTGCAGTGGCATGATCATAGCTCACTGCATTTTCAACCTCTCAGGCTCAAGTAATCCTCCTAAGCGTCCCAAGTAACTAGGACTGCAGGCACATGCCACCAGGCCTGGCTAATTTTTAAATTAAAAAAATTTTTTTTGGGCCGGGCGCGGTGGCTCAAGCCTGTAATCCCAGCACTTTGGGAGGCCGAGACGGGCGGATCACGAGGTCAGGAGATCGAGACCATCCTGGCTAACCCGGTGAAACCCCGTCTCTACTAAAAAATACAAAAAACTAGCCGGGCGAGGTGGCGGGCGCCTGTAGTCCCAGCTACTCGGGAGGCTGAGGCAGGAGAATGGCGTAAACCCGGGAGGCGGAGCTTACAGTGAGCCGAGATCCGGCCACTTGCACTCCAGCCTGGGTGTCAGAGCGAGACTCCGTCTCAAAAAAAAAAAAAAGAAAAAAATTTTTTTTGGTAAAGATTGGGTCTCACTGTGTTGCTCAGGCTGGTCCAACTCCTGGTATCACGTGATCCTCTCACCTTGGCCTCCCCAGGTGGTGGGATTATAGGTGTGAGTCACTGTGCCTGATGGGAAAGCTTTTTTTTTTTTTGAGACCAAGTCTCACTGTGTTGCTCAAGCTGGAGTGCAATGGCACGATCTTGGCTCACTGAAACCTCTGCTTCCCGGGTTCAAGCCATTCTCCTGCCTCAGCCTCCTGAGTAGCTAGGACCACAGGTGTGTGCCACAATGCCTGGCTAATATTTGTATTTTTAGGAGAGATGGGGTTTCACCATGTTGGCCAGGCTGGTCTCGAACTCCTGACCTCAAGTGATCTGCCCACCTCGGCCTCCCAGAGTGCTGGGATTACAGCCTGAGCCACTGCACCTGGCCTGTTGGAAATATTTTCTAACATAGCTTTCCTGAGAGGGAGGGGTGCTGCTCTAAAACCACCACTTATACATAATATGATACCCACATAACTCCCAGCACAGTTAATGATCATGTTGAAAAATAAACACTAATTTGTCATCTTCTCATTTTATAATGTCTTTTTTTTTTAAAAAAAAAACAGTCTTGCTCTGTCATCCAGGCTGGGGTGTAGTGGCATGATCACAGCTAACTGCTGTCTCAGATTCCCTGGGCTCAGGCAATTCTCCCACTTCAACCTCCCAAGTAGCTGGGACTAGAGGAGTGCACCACCACGTCTAGCTAATTTTTCTATTTTTTGTGGCAGGGGGGTGTCTCAAACTCCGGGCCTCAAGTGGTCCGCCTGTCTCAGCCTCCCAAAGTCCTGGGATTATAGGCGTGAGCCACCACCATGCCCTACCTATGTCTTTTAATAATTAGCAAAGCAGCATCTAAGTCCTTTTTAGCTGCTTAGCTGTTTTATAGAATGAAAGGGATTGCAAAGAGCAATGGATCGGAGTTCTTATGTGAATCTTTCTTCCTCAGGTAGTTACTGTTGCTCTCCGATGTCCCAGTGGGAATGTCCTGAGGAGAAGGTTTTTGAAGTCCTGCAGCTCACAGGTAAGTGAAGGAATTCGCATTTTGAGAAATATCTTTGTTGAATTTGGCAGTAGTTTATTCACATGCCTTTGGGAAGGTGTGATCACATTGTCATCCTGCACCTCCCATCAGGTATGGATAAAGGACATTTCCAGGTACTCCACAATGCAGAAATTTGGCTAACTAGGCATGCATGCCGGATGTCTCTGAATTGTGATCTCTGCATTCACATTTTACTTATTCTTTCCCTTTGGTGTATTTTTCCTTTGTTGTTTGCTTTCATTACATTTTCATAATTTGATGGGCAAGATGCTTTTAAATCCTTAGGAAGTAGCCACTATTAACTTTAGACTTTTTTTTCTTTTAAAAACAGTACTGTGGGCTGGGTGCAGTGGCTCACGTCTATAATCCCAACACTTTGGGAGGCCAAGGTGGGCAGATCACTTGAGGTCAGGAGTTCGAGACCAGCCTGGCCAACATGGTGAAACCCCATCTCTACTAAAAATATGAAAATTAACCAAGCATGGTGGCGGACTCCTGTAATCCCCACTACTTGGGAGGCTGAGGCAAGAGAATCACTCGAACCTGGGAGGCAGAGGTTTTAATGAGCCGAGATCGTGCCACCGCACTCCAGCCTGGGTGACAGAGCAAAATTCTGTCTCAAAAATAATAAATAATAAAAAAGAATACTGTGGTTGTTAGTGATAATTTGGAAAATATGGAAAAGTAGAGTGAAAAAAATTTGATCTGTAGTCTCATGCCAAAACCAGTTACTAACATTTTGGTATATTTCCATCTCTAATTACATTTAAACATAAAATTATGTGTGCATTAAAAATATATGTAAATAATTTTCTGTCCTGTTTGTTGTATTTAACCTTTAATGACAAGAATGCTATAAACCGTAATGGAAAATACTGGATTTGACTACATAAAAAATCCGGCCAGGTGCGGTGGCTCACGCCTGTAATCCCAGCACTTTGGGAGGCCAAGGCGGGCGGATCATGAGGTCAGGAGATGAAGATCATCCTAACATGGTGAAACCTCGTCTCTACTAAAAATACAAAAAAATTAGCCAGGCGAGGTGGCGGGCACCTGTAGTCCCAGCTACTCGGGAGGCTGAGGCAGGAGAATGGCGTGAACCCGGGAGGCGGAGCTTGCAGTGAGCTGAGATCGCTCAAAAAAAAAAATTAAAAATTCCGTAAAGAAACTATTCATAAAGTTTAGTTTTTTTGTTTTTTTTTTTTTTTTTGGAGACAGAATCTTGCCCTGTCACCCAGGCTGGAATGGAGTGGTGTGATCACAGCTCACTGCAACCGCCATCTCCCGGCCTCAAGCAATTCTTGTGCCTCAGCCTCCTAAGTAGCTGGGACCAGAGGCACATACCACTGTTCCTGGATAATTTTTGTATTTTTAGTAGAGATGGGGTTTTGCCATGTTGGCCAGGCTGGTCTTAAACTCCTGGGCTCAAGTGATCCGCCCACCTTGGCCTCCCCAAGTGTTGGGATTATAGGCGTGAGCCATCACAACCAGCCCATTTTACTATTTATGTGTGACAGTCATTTTTTATAAGGAGCTTAAATCAAAGAAAAGATAAACACCTCAGTAGACTGACAGGGAAAGAAACATATGAATATCATGTTTCCTAAAGAAGACTCAGTGACAGATAAATATATGAAAAAAATGTTTGGCCTCACACAGAATCAATGACGTACAAATAAAATGAAACTGTATTTTCTACCTAACTGGACTGTCAGAGATTAAAAAGAAATAGTACCCAGATTGGAAAACAGGGATTCTTAAAACTTTAATAGTTTTTTGGCTGGGTACTGTGGTTCACACCTGTAATCCCAACACTTTGGGAGGCTTAGGCAAGCAGATCACGAGGTCAAGAGATTGAGACCATCCTTGCCAACATGGTGAAACCTTGTTTCTACTAAAAATACAAAAATTAGCCAGGCATGGTGGTGGGCGCCTGTAGTCCCAGCTACTCAGGAGGCTGAGGCAGGAAAATTGCTTGAACCCGGGAGGCGGAGGTTGCAGTGACCCGAGATTGTACCACTGCACTCCAGTCTGGGAGACAGAGCAAGACTGTCTCAAAAAACAACAAAACAGAAAACCTTTAATATTTTTTATATTTTAAAAATAGAACAGGGTCTCACTATGCTGACCAGGTCAATCTTGAACTCCTGGGCTCGAATGATTCTCCTGCCTCGTCCTTCCAAAGTGCTGGGATTACAGGTGTGAGCCACTGTGTCTGGCCATCATAACTTGTTAATGTGAATGTAAATAGGATCAGTGTTCCTGACAGATAATTTACAATTGTTTTTATTTATTTTTGTGAGATTGGTTCTCACTCTGTCACCAAAGCTGAAGCACAGTGGTACAATCACAGCTCACTGAAACCTTGACCTTCCCGGGCTCAGGTGGTCCTTGCACCTCAGCCTCCTGAGTAGCTGGGATTATAGGCACGCACCACCGGACCTGGCTAATTTTTATATTTTTTGTAGAGACTGGGTTTCGCCATGTTACCCAGGCTGGTCTCAAACTTCTGTGCCATTATATGTTTGGAAAAAAATGTATACATATGTGTGTGTGTGTGTGTGTGTGTGTGTATATATATAGTTTTGAGACAGAGTCTTGCTCTGTCACCCAGGCTGGAGTGCAGTGGCGGGATCTCAGCTCACTGCAACCTTCGCCTCCTGGGTTCAAATTATTCTCCCTCCCCAGCCTCCTGAGGGCCTGGGATTACAGGTGCCCGCCACCACGCCTGGCTAATTTTTGGCTGGGCACAGTGGCTTATGGCCGTAATCTCAGCACTTCAGGAGGTGCAGGCAGGCAGATCACTTGAGGTCAGGAGTTCAAGACCAGCCTGGCCAACATGGTGGAACCCCATCTCTACCAAAAATACAAAAATTAGCCGGGCATGGTGCCAGGTGCCTGTATAATCCAAGCTACTCTGGAGGCTGAGGCAGGAGAATCGCTTAAACCCAGGAGGTGGAGGTTTCAGTGAGCCGAGATTGTGCCATTGCACTCTAGCCTGGGTGACAGAGCAAGACTCCCATGTCAAAAAAAAAAAAAAAAGAATATTCCTATCTCAAAACTCATGGCAAGCTATTTTCCTTTAAGCTCTAGAAAGTTTCTTTGAAAGGTATGAAAATTCTGTCTCATGACTCCTAGGGATGTGATTTTACACTGACAAAATTATAAAATGTTATGGTGGTCTAAAGGGACACGGTGTATAAAGTATTTGATAATGACTAAGCCAAGCTTTTTATCTTCTAGGTCTTACTTGACTGGATGATGAGAATTGGGTACCACACATCTCTATACAGCCTTTCTACTTCCTTTCCCAGACGGCCTCTGGCAGTGGAGGGGGGCCAGTCGCTGGAGGACGTAGGAATAACTGTGGACACTGTGCTCATCCTGGAAGAGAAGGAGCAGACCAACTAGGAAAGAAGTTTGAGACCAGCCTGGGTAACATGGCGAAACCCAGTCTCTACATGCTCCCTGTTCTGCTTGAAGTCAGCTATGCCATTACCTCCTGGCACAATAAAGGCTTCACATTAAAACCACACCATACCTTGATTGAGCTCATGGCAGTAAACATTGAACATTGATATCCATGGGAATAGGATTAGAAAAGGATTGCTTTCTGCATATAATAATCTGTGGACTGTGCCATTTTACAGCGTACCAAATGAGAACGAGGTAAAAATGTATGCAGTAAGGCACTCTGTAATTGCTGTTTTTTCCCAGCTGACATGATTTCTCAGTGTTAGAAAACAAACCCATAGAACTTTGCTTTCTGCCTCTTCAATCCATCTTACCACACAGTATTTCATGATTCAGTCAAATTCTTCAAAGTCTTATAAGCAGGAGTGTTTATTCTGCTGTATTTCTGTGAAATTGAAAACTTGGAAGAAGCTTCAAAGCTCTTGGAGGCTTTAAAGTTCTTTCTGATGGGTATGCATTACAGTTAACTGATGTTTGCGATTTATATAATTTTGACTTGTATTAAATGTTATATTTACAAAGTTCCAAATGAATCAGTATTTTTAAAAATAAAACTATGAAAGCATTAAAATATAGGTGAATTTTAAAAAATGTATCTGATCATTTCCCTCTCCTGCTTCTAAGGTTATAATGATAAAGTCATGCACTGTTCAGACTCCAAGTGTGGTTATAAAAGGCTTTTAACTTTGTTCTACTCACTCCTTTTTTCTTGTCTCATGCTCTGTTTTAAAAGTCTGCTCAGGCCTGGTGTGGTGGCTCATGCCTATAATCCCAGTACTTTGAGAGGCTGAGGCGGGCGGATCATGAAGTCAAGAGATCGAGACCAGGCTAGGCACAGTGGCTCACGCCCATTATCCCAGCACTTTGGGAGGCCAAGGCAGGTGCATCATGAGGTCAGGAGTTCAACACCAGCCTGGCCAAGATGGAGAAACCCCATCTCTACTAAAAATACAAAATTTAGCCAGGTGCAGTGGCAGGTGCCTGTAATTCCCAGGTACTCGGGAGGCTGAGGCAGGAGAATTGCTTGAATCTGGCCAGCAGATGTTTCACTGAGCTTAGATCATGGCACTGCACTCCAGACTGGGTGACAGAGTGAGACTGTGTCTCAAAAAAAAAAAAAAAAGAGTTGAAGACCAGCCTGACCAACATGGTAAAACCCCATCTCTACTAAAAGTACAAAAATTGGCCGGGCGCGGTGGCTCACGCCTGTAATCCCAGCACTTTGGGAGGCCAAGGCAGGCGGATCATGAGGTCAGGAGCTGGAGAGCATCCTGGCTAACACGGTGAAACCCCGTCTCTACTAAAAATACAAAAAATTAGCTGAGTGTGGTGGCGGGCGCCTGTAGTCCCAGCTACTCGGGAGGCTGAGGCAGGAGAATAGCATGAACCTGGGAGGTGGAGCTTGCAGTGAGCTGAGATCATGCCACTGTACTCCAGCCTGGGTGACAGAGCAAGACTCCGTCTCAAAAAAAAAAAAAAAAAATTAGCTGAGAGTGGTGTTGTGCACCTGTAATCCCAGCTACTCAGGACGCTGAGGCAGGAGAATAGCTTAAACCCAGGAGGCGGAGGTTGCATCGAGCCTAGATCGCACCACTGTACTCCAGCGTGGCGACAAATCGAGACTCCATCTGAAAAAAAAAAAATCTGCTTATCTGGCTCTCTTGGGCATTCCCTTTATCCCCTTCTGTAGAATTTGTCACACTGTATTATAGCTGTGTTTTGTTTTCTCAAATAGGCACTTTCTCAAAGGCAAGGACTGTGTTTTTTTGCCCTCAGAAGTACCTACTGTATGTTAGATACTTAATACTTCTTTGAAAATAAATAGTAAGTTGTCTCAACCTTAAATTTGGGGTGGGAGGGCAGGTTGGTTCTAGAATACCTCACATTGAAAAAAATGAGGCCAGGTGCAGTGGCTCATGCCTATAATCCCAGCACTTTGGGAGGGCAAGATGGGCAGATTGCTTGAGCCCAGGAGTTCAAGACCAGCCTGGGCAACATGGTGAAGCCCTGTCTCTACAAAGAATACAAAATACAAAAATTAGCCAAGCATGGTGGCACGTGCCTGTAGTCCCACCTACTAGGGAGGCTGAGGTGGGAGGATCACTTGAGTCTCAAAAAAAAAAAAAGTGGTAGCACATCACTTCTGAGATTAGATTATAATAGACCATGGCTGTCCTGGTGGTCTCTCTTGGGTCCCTCGCTCTGGGGGGAGGGGAAGAAGTCCTGTTGTGAGTGACCCCATGGAGAGGCCCACACAGCAAGGAACTGAAGCTTCCTGCCCACAGCAATGAGAGAAAGCTTAGAGGTGGCCCTCAGGTCCCAGCCAAGTCTTCAGAGCTGGTCACTCTGGCCAACAGCTTGAGTACAACTGCATGCAAGCCTCAAGCCGGAACCACCGGACTAGGATGCTCCCAGATTCTGAGATCTCAGGATTTGTGAGGCAGCTAAGTTTTGAGTTCATTTGTAATGTATGGAGCAATATATAACACAGATTTGTGTATCTGTTAGCAAGGTGCTACCATAACAAAACCCTTCAATGCAGGAGTGCCTTTGGAATCAGGCAGTGGACTTTGAGGAGAGTGCTGCTGAAAGCCCACAGTGCTTTGAAACTGGATAAATGCCTCACAGTTGGAGGCAGGCATGGTGGTGCATACCTGTAGTCCCCACTACTCAGGAGGGCTAACACAGGAGGATTGCTTGGGTCCAGGAATTTGAGGACAGACTGGGCAACATAGCAACACCCCTATCTCTAAAAAATATTTTTTTTGTTTAGGCATGGTGACTCATGCCTGTAATCCCAGCACTTTGGGAGGCCAAGGCAGACAAATCACCTGAGGCCAGGAGTTTGAGACCAGTCTGGCCAACATGGCAAAACCCCATCTCTACTAAAAATACAAAAATTAGCTGGGTGTGGTGGCAGTTTCCTGCAGTCCCAGCTACTTGGGAAGCTGAGGCAAGAGAATCGCTTGAACCTGGGAGTATTCCTGGGCACTGGAGAAAGGGAAGTCCTGGTTAGAGGCAGTAAGTTCAGCAACGCTATCACCTGCAGTTGTGTGGAAAGTGGAAAATACAGCTAAGGAGTGAGTGATCTAGCTAAGTCTGTTTCCAACTAGAGTGAAAATGCCATTGGTTTCTTCCTGCCACTTGTAATAAAATAAGACAGGAATGAAATAAGCTAAAGAAAGAACTGTTGAAAAAGAAACCAGTGCTCACTGGTTTAGAAGATTCACGGCTTCTCCAGGTGGCAAATGATTACACTAACATTTAAAAGTGGCTTCAGAGCAAAGATTAAATTCAGAACACTCAAGAAAATATGGTTTAAAGATTAAAGTGAGGGTATAACTATAAAATCCTTTGTTAAAACCGGAGAAAAGACGAAGGTGGGCCAGGCACAGTGGCTCACGCCTGTAATCCTGAAACTTTGTGAGGCCGAAGTGGGAGGATCGCTTGAGTGCAGGAGTTCGAGACCAGCATGGGCAGGATGGTAAGACCCCATTTCTGCAGAAAATTATTAGCCTGGCACAATGGCATGTGCCTGTAGTCCCAGCTGCTCGGGAAGCTAAGGTGGGAGTTTTGCTGGAGCTCAGAGATTGAGGCTGCAGTAAGCGAAGACCATGCCACCGCACTCCAGCCTGGGCAACAGAACCAGACCTTGTCTGTAAAATAAAAAAGAAAAATCAAAAGGTGATGCCTCAATATGATTCACAGGAGACAAAGTTTAAAAAAAAAATTACATCAGCAGTAACTTGGTCAACTTGAACTGAAAGAGACAAAGTAAAAAAAAAACAAAAACAAAACAAAACAAAAAAAAAACACCGGCCGTGAGATTTCCAAGATTCTACAGGCAGGAAACAAGGTGAGAAAAACGCTTTGCTGTAAATCCACACCCCCTTTCATGTAAAAGCCTGACTCCTAAGATGAAATTAAGTCTCCCAGGGCAGAGTCAACAGTCTGGAAAGTCATTTCCTGGCAGGAGTAGCACTGGGTTTCAGTGCTCGCCCAGCTGGATTTCAGAACTGCCTATGGACCAGCAGTGTGTGTGCCTTTCATTTGCAGCCTTTCTGAACAGGAGCGTCTGGGCATCATGTAACTGTCCCGCCACTGCATGCTGGGTGTTGGGAGTGTGATAACATATCTAGTTCTCAGCCTTGCAGATCAGGAAGAAGTGTCTTAGAGCTGTACCTGAGAACAGCCTAGGGTCATCATCTGCCCCTGCACCTAACACAGATAAGATGAACTCTGAGCTGATGCTGTGAGCTGATGGGACTGTCTTGTTCCTTGGAAGGGGTGAATGTACTTACATATGGGAGGACTGTGGATTTACAGGGGCTAGAGAGCAGAGTGGGAGCCAGCCTCCAAAACAGACCCCAGCAATCTCTCTCTCCTGATATTCAGACCTTATGCCGTCATCCCTTCCCGCAGTGTGCCAAGATAAATATTTGAGATAAATCTTTAAGACCAATAGAATTGGCTAGGCACGGTGGCTCACGCCTGTAATTCCAGCACTTTGGGAGGCCAAGGTGAGTGGATCAAGAGGTCAAGAGATCAAGACCATTCTGGCCAACATGGTGAAACCCCATCTCTACTAAAAATACAAAAGTTAGCTAGGCATGGCGGTGCACGCCTGTAGTCTCAGCTACTTGGGAGGCTGAGGCAGGAGAACCAAGGAGTCAGAGGTTGCAGTGAGCCAAGATCGCACCGCTGCACTCCAGCCTGGTGACAGAGCAAGGCTCTGTCACAAAAACAAACAACAACAGAATTAACCAGAAGTCATGGTATGTCTCTTCCTAGGTGAGATGATCAAGGACTGCACTTCTTTTGGTTCTCTATTCCTGTCTTTGGTCTAATCACTTGCTCTGGCTGAAACCATGTTAGTGCACTGGGGAGGACCACATGCCAACGAACTGGAGCCTCATTGCCAGTAGCTCCACGAGCTAGCTGGGAGTGAACCCTGCAGCCCCAGTTGTATCTTTAGAGACTGCAACCTCATGACAGACCTTGAACCAGAACCATTCAGCTGAGCTGCTCCTGGAGCCCAGACTCACAGAAACTACAGGAGATAATGAATGATGTTTCGTAATTGCCCAGTGGCTTTCTCCCACCCTCTGCACAAACAAAAATCAAATCACTGAGGCCACGGCATTGCAGCAAAGAGAGTGTAACTGATATGAGGCCAACCACGCAAAAGAGGGAGTTAATACTCGAGTCAGTCTCCCTGAAGGCTCGTAGGTTAGAGTTTTTCAAGGATAGTTTGGTGGGCAGAAGGCTAGGAAACAGGGAATGTTGATTGGTTGGGGATGGAATCATAGGGGTGTGGAAAACCGTCCTGGGGGCTGAGTCCCCCTCTGGGTAGGGCCACAGGACCTGTTGAGTCACAAGTTGCAAGCCCAGATGTGGTCAGTCAGTTGCCCGAATGCAAAAGTCTGCAAAAACGTCCCAGAAGACCAATCTTAGGTTCTACAATAGTGATGTTACTTACAGGGGCAACTGTGGAGGTTGCAAATCTTGTGACCTCAGAATAATGGCTGGTTATCATTTAATAACTCCATATTATCAGAATTCAGGCCGCTTTCATAATCCTAACCTTGTGGCCTGTTCATTAGTTTTACGAAGGCTGTTTAGTTTTGGGAAGGGCTAGCATCATCCTTGCTTAAATAAACTAAACTCCTCCCAAGATTAACTTGGCCTATGCCA